GTGAAATCATCCACTGCTCTCGTATTGTGTTCCAATCACCTCTTTTATGTTCTTCCTTTCCAATTTAATCGTGCTTTATTTATTCATTGCAGCTCGAAGATTTATCCAGTTGTCATTGCTATTTATCTCTCTAAGCTTAATCAGTTTGCATTCGATTTACTAATGGTGGAATTCACGTCCTAGAGTGCTAGAGCCCTTGGAAAGATAAAGGAAATGGAGTATGACTCCTCAACAAGAAAATAGTGCAGTCCTAGCACCAAACTCATTGCATCAATCCTAAAAGTAATATAATAAACATCCATTAGATGGCTTTGCTTGCAAGAATTGATAGTTTGATAGAATAGTTTCATATACATAAGAGAATCTTTGAATTTTTTTTTCTTCCTCTCTCTTTTTTCTTGGACCAAATAATNGATAGGCCGAAGGAATTGTTACAATGTTAATAGACTTAACATTGATAGGAATAGTTCTACATATGTAAGATTAACTGAGAATCTTTTAGTTTTTTTACTTCTCTTTTTTCTTGGACCAAATAATGTATCAAAATGCACATTTACATGTTATCCAGTTCTACTGACAAATTATGTCTTGTATTTTGATAAAATTTAAGATTTTTTTCCACTATTGCTTTTCCATTAATGGATGAATCTGTTTGATTCAACAGATTTGTTTGATTTAGTCAATAACTTCCTAATTAACTAAAAAGAAGTTTACCTACTTAGATAGAATCGATTTTAATTTCTAAGGTAAACACATTCAATTTGTTTTGTTATTACAACGGCTATCAGTCGCATTCAACTTGGTTCAGAGGAAGTACAGCTAACAAGAAATATAATAGTTTATTGCACACTTAGATAGATGTTGCTTGATTTCGAGAGATTTATTATGGTATTGTTTTGTAATAAAAATGTCCTCATAAACATCCATTCATTTTCGATTCAATTGTAAACTTAACGTTTCACTAGGTTAATTTATGTATTATGTCAAGTGTTTAAAAATTATTAATGTATAAATTTGACAATAAATATAGATATTAAATTATATTTTTTTTGCAATATAAATATTAAAATATGACATATAACTATTTTTTTTTTACAAAAAAAAAGAAAATATTATAATTTAAAAAGCAAATAAAAAAAATATGCGCACACTACGAAGTATGCTCTGCACTTGTGCGGAGGAGCTCCGCACTGCGGAGCAAAATGCGGAGTTGAGGAGTTGGAACTCTGCACTTATGCATAATGCAGAGTTCCAACTCCGCAGTGTGCGGAGTCCAGCTCCGAACATTTTTTTCCGCGCTTATTTTTAAAATAAATTAATTTAACATTTTTTAAATTATATTAATTTTCAAATACAAAAATAAATAAGAATTTTTCTAATTGTTTTTTTATTTCATACACATCATATTTACTTATTTAATTCTAAATATAATTTATTATACACAGTTTAATTATAATTCAGTGCAAAAAACTTATTTAATTATAACTAACATTATAATTCACAACTAAAAAAACGTTTCATGCCGACTTCTTTTTCTCTATTTTTTGACAAAAAAATACATATGTATAAAAATTTGTTTTCCCACTGTAGATATTTTACAAAAATTGACATCTTGATACAAATTTCATTTCCCACAATAGATATTTCACAAATTTCTTATCATAAATTTAATTTCCCACAGTAGATATTTTACAAATTTCTTAGATATTTTACTATTGATTTCTATAAATAAATACTCTACCTCAATATTTGAACGGTAGAAAAATACAAAGTAAAAACACTTGAAATCTTTATATTTAACCAACTTCTACCTACGATATACTACTTATTTCAGGTATATTTTTTTACATTTAGTAAGACCTACTCTGGATTTTTTTTTTTTTTTTTAGTTTGCTAATTTGTGGTTTAATTTGGTCTTCAGATTTCAACAATAGCTCCACCTTATAAATTCATACCACAAATTTCGGCTTCAGAAAGCAATTGGTTGGCCAAAATTAAAGTTGTAGGGAAGCAATCTCCTAAAACAGCTCGAAATTCCAATAGTCATTATCAAAATCTTACTCTGATGAATTTACAAATACATCTATACTACTCATTAGATAATTTTTAGTTTCTCTTTATTTTTATATTCCATTAACAAGGAAATAAAGTTATAGCAACAATGTATGATGCAAACATTACTGCATTAGATGATCAGCTTAAACTGGGGAACACATATATTGTCTCAAATGCAACCGTAAGAGATATCAAAAGCGAATTCCAAAGTTCGCCTGGAGAAAAAAATTGGACTATATCCGGAAGAACAAAAATTGAAGAAGTGCATNCCAAAGTTCGCCAGGAGAAAAAATTTGGACTATATCTGTAAGAACAAAAATTGAAGAAGTGCATGAGGACCATTTAAACTTTTTATTCTCAAAACACAAGCTTACTTCATTTGATGAACTACATGAACACATGGACAAAAATACGAACATAAGTAAGTTTCCAATTTGAAATTACTTTTTTTAATATTCTATTTTTTTCCTTCTTATTATACATATATTCAAAATATATAAACATCTTTGTTCGTTGTAGGTGTGATAGGTGCAGTCCCAGACATACGACAAAAATGTCTAATTCAAACGAAATTTGGTACAGAAACCTTTTTACAAGATGTTGTCTTAATTGACAAAAAATTATGTACTGTGATACTAACCCTATGGGATACATTTGTTGAGGAAGAAAGTAATGAAACACTTGAAAATCTAGCAAATAGACCTATAATATGGGCTACAAATCTCAAAGTTTCTTCCTTTGGTAAATCTATTATCCATATTATAGTTTTATTTAAATTTAAGAAAACCATGATATACATATTCCTCTTCATCATGCAGGTATCTCTCTTTCTACCAAAGTCAACAGTACTTTCTTCGTTGACGCCAAATTACTTGTTGTTGCGGAGTACAAAAATTGGTATTATACTATACTTAGCCATCATATATTTCTTCAATATATATATTTCTGTAAATTCTACAAAACTAAACATATAATTTTTTTTACATGGTGGAAACCAACAGAGAAACACTGGATAAACTCATTGGAAATAAACTATTTGTAATTGTTAGCCCACCTAAATTTACACCTCCAACTGAGAAGAAGTTTACACAAATTGTTGATTTGCTGGGAATCTATCTAGAAGTAATAATTATTATAAATTGCTTCATCAAATAGAAATAACACACACACGTAAAATATTTTTTCCATTTAATTATATATACATTTACATTCTCAGGAAAAATTTTATTGGGTAAGTGCACGGTGGAAAATCAACAAAAAAAAAACACAGGTCTTCTGGTACATGTCTTGTAGTAATTGCCAAAAGACATCCAATGTAGATTTTGGAGATATCCACAAATGTAGATTTTGCAAATATCAACATGCGAAAGCTATCCTAAGGTAATTTACGTATATTTAGACGTTTTAATTCGGACAAATACCCATTCCTAACTACA